GTCACTCCCACATGCCATGTGACCTGGTTTGTCACTCTCACATGCCATGTCACTTGGTTTGTCACTCTCACATGCCATGTCATCTGGTTTGTCACTCCCACATGCCATGTCATCTGGTTTGTCACTCCCACATGCCATGTCATCTGGTTTGTCACTCTCACATGCCATGTGACCTGGTTTGTCACTCCCACATGCCATGTCATCTGGTTTGTCACTCTCACATGCCATGTCACTTGGTTTGTCACTCTCACATGCCATGTCATCTGGTTTGTCACTCCCACATGCCATGTGACCTGGTTTGCCACTCCCACATGCCATGTCATCTGGTTAGTCACTCCCACATGCCATGTCATCTGGGTTGTCACTCTCACATGTCATGTCGTCTGGTTTGTCACTCTCACGTGCCATGTGATCTGGCTTGTCACTCTCACATGAAGGTTCATCACATGCCAGATGTCCCTTCCAGTGCAGGGTGGACCACACCTCACCTTGTCTGCAAATTCTGCTGGTCTGCCTTGGAGCAAATTGACCTCTCAAAACTCACCCTGTGTGCACCTGTTGGTCTGCCGCCTTTCCCCCTTCCCCTGCCCCTCTCAGGCATGATACGGTGCCTCAAAGCCCAAGAAAGACAGGCCCTTTATTCTAATTCAGAAGTCAGTGGGGGGGAATTACTCACAAAGATACCTTGCATTGTGTGATGGTGGTGGTTACATGATTCTTTGGTTGGTTTCTAGCTAGTGTGTTCCTGGGGGAGTGCGTTGAGGTATTATGTATATTCTGTGAATGGATACGAATGTGCCTGAACGCTACCAGTCGAATGTGGTACGGTAGTTTGACACATCACTACTGTATGTACCGTACGTACTTACATTTGCCATGTTTCTCCCGTGCAACTAGCATGCACAGGTCTTGCTTGATACGGTACAGTAGAAACTTTATCTGGGCCAAGAAGGCAGGTAGGCGGTGGGAGGAGGGAAAGGGGGTTCTCTTTTTCTACCTTGACTACGCACAAGCAGGCAGAGGTGTCCCACACAGGTTGGGGTTCTCTGGTTCGAAAGAGCATCCTGTCATCTTGCTCAGAGCGAAACAACAGCCCCTGACAGCCGATTCCCTGGTAGTGTCCCATCTAATAGGTTCTTATGCACAAGCAGGCAGAGGGGTCCCACACAGGTTGGGGTTCCCTGGTCTGAACGACCCTCGCTTCAGCTTGCTCAGAGCAGCTGGAACAGCCCCTGACAGCCGATTCCCTGCCAGCCGCACTTGTCATATACCTGCCGGCCAAACCGTGGGAATTTTCCCCGAGAGCCTGTTATACGACAACCCAAGTCCTTGCAGCTGTTTCATATTGCTCACACCAGCTGGGATTGCTCCTGTAAGGGTGTTTTTGTTGAGGAGTAGCTGCTTGAGGCGAGTAAAGGAGCTGATTGTAGCGGGGATGGGGCCGGAGAGGCGGTTGGAGGAGAGGTAGAGGATCTCGAGGGAATCGGAGCAGGAGGGGGAGGAGAGCGGGGTGGGCGGACCGGAGAGGGCGTTGGAGGCGAGATTGAGGAAGGTGAGGTCATGCTCACCCTGGCAGAAGGCGGGGATGGGGCCTGGGGGGTGGGGGATGAACACAGAGAGGAGAGAGGGGGTGAGTGGGAATCAGAGTCTTGGAAAGGCACATGCAAGGTTGATGAAGGTGAGGTCATGCTCGCCCTGGCAGAAGGCGAGGATGGGGCCTGAGGGGTGGGGGACTGGAGGTAGGAGCAAGCACAGGGATAGAACAGGCAGGAACGGAAGTGTTAATAGCAAAAAGTGCAGGATCGGAAGGAGAGAAGGGGAGAGAGAGACGGAGCAGGAGGGAGAGACAGGGGGGTGGGCGGGCCGGAAAAGGCATTGAAGCGAGGTTGAGGAAGATGGGATGGCAGAAAGAAGGGGGGAATGGGGCCTGAGGGGTGCGGAGAGGGGGGGTAGGAGAAAGTTAACTGATGGGGCCTGAGGGATAGGGTAGCGGAAGCAGAGAAAAATATGAGAGGATACGAGAACCAAACAGAAAGCTCAACGGAACAAAACAATGAGCGTTGTTTCCAGCCAGCTCACCTGTCAGAGCGTTTGCCCCCAGGTCCAAGTATTGAAGCTGGGGTAAACTGGCGAGGCCTCGGGGAATGCTCCCTGTGAATTTGTTGAATCCGAGGTCCAGACCAAGGATTTCCGTGGGCAGGTTCGAAAACGGCTGCAAGCTGCCCGAGAAATTGTTGTGGCTTAACAGGATATCATAATAGAACGGACTTGAAACAGTTGGCTGGAACGGACCCTGTCAGGCGATTGTGCGAAAAAACTGTTTCTACATCGCTGCCCCGATGGCACACAATCTTGGGGAATGCGTCCCAAAACAAATTGTCCGAAACGTCGATGGCCATCGCGTCGCTGAAGCGGCTCGAGTTGAAGTTTCCGGTCAGCCTGTTCCCGCTTACGATAAAAGCTGTGGACTTTATTTGCTGCCCGCTCAGGTCGCCGGAAAGGCGGTTATAACTTAAATCAAGATCACACGATTTCTGCAGCAGAGCACGGGGGATATTCCCGGTTAGCCGATTCGAGTTCAAACTTACTGCACCACCAAAGTCAAGTTTTTTGCGGCTTAGCGGCAGTGTCGCGAAGGCAGCAGGGATCGTCCCGGACAACCTATTCTTCCCGAGATCCAGATACACTAGCGAAGTCGCTGCCGCGTACGCTGCAGGACGTCGTGGTAACCCGCCCGAGAAGAAATTTTGGGCGGCGTACACCTCGCTAAGCAACGGCATGCGAAAAATGACGAGAGGAAGAGGACCAGCGAAGCAGTTACCGCTAATATCGAGGGACTGGATTTGTTTTAGCCGGGAAAACGATCGCGGGATAGAGCCAGCAAGCCAGAGACCCTTCAGATCAAGATTGGTGAGATCCGTTAACTGGCCGATGGACTCGGAGAGGGTTGCGGGAAATTTTCCGCCGGGATTGCGCGCGGTACGGTTGCAAAGCCGAGGCGTGGGTGGCGGGTTGACGTTGGTCGAAAGGTTTAGCAGCTTAACAGCGGTGCCGGTGCAGCAAGTCACGCCGGGCCACGTGCACGCGTTCGGCTGGTTCGCCGGGATAGGCAGCAGCGCGGCCGTGAAGATCGCCGTGAGAGCCGCCGTGGATGCTGCCGAAGTCTGCGACGAGGGTGTGGATGCGCGCAACCCTGAACTCGCCGCTGACCCGCCGTTGCTGGTTCCGCCCGCCGCTGCGTCAGACGCGGCAGATTGTGAACGCATTGAATTGGGGTAGCCGCAGGGTCCCGGATCGTAAAATAGTTCTCTCTCCGCCCGTTGCGCAGCGAGATATTGCGCCGCGCGAGGCGGAACAGTCCGCGCGGAGAGTCCTTGTCCGCGGCGAGCAGCATGCAGCTTCGATACAAACTGCCTCGATATTGGCCGGAAGGCCGTCGTCGGTGAGCAGTAGAGGAGTAGCAGGAGGAGGCACGCTGTTGTGGTGGTACTAACGTGAGCGCGCAACATGTCGTGAAGAATGGTGATGGGACCTCGAGGGTAGTAACCTACGTCCGCCATGTGCGACTCCTAGTCAAACGATTTCTAGCTTCAGAAACTTGTTCCCGTAAGAACCGAACCCTATCAAGTTCAGAGTGAAACCTGAAACGCGTTTCCAGCGAGGAAGTAAGAAGGGAACGAATAGAGGCGATACGGAGGCGATAAGATGGCGGTAAGCTGCTTTTGAGGTGAGTGCTTGACATCCCCCCAATAGATGTCCTACGTGGCAGTTTCCACGTCGCAAGACACACACGTGCCATGATATTCGCGCCGATTGCCGTCCACACTGAACCAGTCATTGCGGGTCTAGGTAAAAGTAAGTGACGTCAGAGTGATATGAGAAATAAGGCAATGAAATGAATGGCTGCGAATGGGATGGACGCGACGGCACCGCGAGCAACACAGGCTGGGTTTGGTAGGCATTCACGGTTTAGATTAGGACAGGCACCACAAGCGAGGGGCACCAATACTGAGGAGGGGGACGGCGGGTGAGTGGAGGTGGGAGGGGTTGAGTTTCTGTGGTTGGGTTGGTTTCAGTTGGGTTGGGTGAGGCGAGGACACCCAAAGTGAGTGGTTGGACCACCTGGGTGGGACTGAAGACGCAAGTGTCGGCAATCTTGGGGGTAGCGCGACCTACTTCTGATTCGCCAGGACTAGGAAGTGGCGAAGTAACCTGGTTGCGAAAATGTGGAATGGAGTTCGCGAAATATTGCGGGGTCGCAGCACAAAAGATTGTTCACTCGCTGTCTGCGACGAATCTGTCAATATTCAGGCAGTGCGGAGAACCGCCTATAAAATGCCTCGATATATGATAGGCATTAGGAATTACGATACAGATGCCAACGGGCAGCCAGTTTAGAGAAGCAGCCCGATAAGAGATCCAGCCCAATTAGAGATGCAGCCAGCAGCACCTGATAAGGACGCGTCACAATTGCGATATCGAGGAGGATCGTGGTCACACACCGAAGCTGTGAGAATCGATCTCCTCTGAGCCAGATGTGTCGCGATCGTCTTCAGGTTCGACAATTAGCGGGGTTAGAAGCATTTTTTTAAAATTTAAATTATTTACGTATGATTTGAGTGCGGTGACAGATCGATCTGGGAGGGACATAGCGCTCGGTGAAGTGTGTCGGTACTTAACGAAAACGGGTTACAAGACACAGCGAATACTGTACCCCCGGAACATCGATCTCCCGCAGGATCGATGTCGCAATTGTGACGCGTCCTAAGCTCGATCCTAAATTCTGATCTTCGTCACTCCTAAAATACTGTCCACTTTCAGGAGGGAAAAGCAGGAGAGTCATGATTTCCGTGAACCGATTCGTTGATGTAACTATTCGTTGTATTCGCGTATATTGAGGTAATAACGAGAAAGTAACTTTTTTCCTGAACAGGCATCTTCTCTTCATGCCGTCAGATTTTCCGCATATCGATTCCGCGACTTTAGATCGAACGATCGCGATGGACGGCTGGGATAGCACGACCAAATCTACAGTTCAGAAGATCCCGCTTCTGGCCGGAAGCAGGCCCACGAGACGAGCAATAGAAGCCGGGACTCAAGGAGGAATTTCAGGTGCGTTGAAACGAGCCTCGGAAAGAGCCTTGAAACGAGGGACAATCTATGTGACGATGCGTCAGAACGAGTCTCGAGGCGAGCAAATGGAATCAACAAATCGGGGTGGGGGAGAATAAAATACTGAATTGGGACAGGTGCGGTCATAAGGGCAATGCCACGTGGTTTTGATTCCTCATGTGGGTGGGAATGAGCCCCGGGTGAACCGAATGGAACCGGCGGCTCATGATGGTGCTGTTTCATATGGGTGATAGAGGACGATTCACAGGGGGAAGAGATGAGCTGACTTTCGAGTCGACTCACAGGGGGGATTCGCTGATAGGCAAGGCGCGGGGCAACGACTGGACCACACACCTCCTCCCCTTTCGCCCTTCTCCCCCCTCCCCCCGTCCTAGGCTTTGATGAAGCACGTGAAGATGAACAGCGCGGGGCAACGATTGGATGGTTTCAGCTGCAGTTTGTTTCCTCTAGACCCACTCCCCCCTCCCCCCCACCCCGTTCCCCCTTCTCCCCCCTCCCCCCCACCCCATTCCCCCTTCTCCGCCATCCCCCCTTTGCAGGCTTAGTCGAGTACGCGAAGAACAAGGCGCGGGACAATGACTGGTTTCAGCTACCATGCTTCCTTCTCTCGATCCACTCTCCCCCCCCCCACCTCCCCTTCTGCCCTCCCTCCCAGGCCTCAATTGAGTACGTGAAGAACAAGGCGCGGGCAGGACAACGACTGGTTCCAGCTGTAGTTTGTTTCTGCTGAACCCATTCACTCCCCACGAACCTCCTCCCTCTTCCCCTTTCTCCTCCTTCCCCCCTCCAGGCTTTGATGGAGTATGTGTAGATGAACAAGGCGCGGGACAACGACTGGATGTTTCCAGCTGTCATCGTGATTTGTTCCCGCTCGACGCAGCACCCACACCCCCCCCCCCCCCCCCCTCCCCCGCTCTCCCCCTTCCCCCTACGTTCCTCCCTCCCTGGCTTTAACCTAGTATGTGAAGATGAACAAGGCGGAGGACAAGACAAGGACTGGCTCCAGCTGTCATGTGTTTCCCTCCCAGGCTTCAATCGAGTGTGTGAAGAACCAGGCGCGGGGCAATGACTGGTTTCAGCTGGCCCCGGCAAGCGCTGGCTAAACCTGAGTCTCTTTTGAGAATTCTCGAGAGCGGCTGGCCCTGGCAAAACGCTGAGGAGACTTAGAGGAAGGGCACATGCTAGTGGGTGGGTGGGGTGGGTAGGGTGGGTGGATGTGAGTGGGGTGGGGTGGGTGGGTGGATGTGGGTGGGGTGGGGTGGGATGGGGTGGGTGGGTGGATGTGGGTGGGGTGGGGTGGGTGGGTGGGGTGGGGGGGGGGGGTGGGTGGGTGGGGTGGGGTGGGTGGGTGGGTGGGTGGGTGGGGTGGGGTGGGATGGGGAGGGTGGGTGGGTGGGTGGGGGCTTGGAGAGAATTGTGCTCAACTGGATCGCTGTAAGGTATGGGTTGCTAAATGGATAAGATCAGTTTAAAGACATTATTGCGAGGCTACTGTCAGTGGGGGGGCGGGGGGGGAAGAGTAAATGCTGGAAGGTGGGTGGGTGGATGGCAGGAGGATTGCGATTTAAGTAAGGTTGCGAGCCCAATTCGCGTCTCCTCTTCTCCCTGTTTCCAAGGGCCAGCACGGGCCAGCACGCTTGACACACCCGGGCATGAAAACAAGATCTAGTTTTCGTGGCTGTATGCTCTCGAGTATTCCCTCTCTCCCTCCCTCCTTCTGTCTCTTTGCAACCTGTTCATGTACGAGCTTATTTTGAGGCTCCTAAAAACGAGCCGCCTCAAAACTAGACCCCTCACTCACAGGTACAAGTGCGACCTGTTCGTGTACGAGCTTGGGTCAAGGTACACTCATCACGCCCCAGGCATCAGCGCGAAATTTATATTCGCATGGTTGTATGCTCTCTATTGCTCCCACTCTCCCTCTGTCACTTTGTCCCTCTACCCCGCTGTCCCTCTGCCCCTCCCTCTCCGCTGTCCCTTTGTCACTCTTTTCCCCTGTCCCCGTCTGCCCACCACAGGTACGTGTACAATACAGCCTGATCAGGTACGAGTTTGACCAACCAAGATAGACATCCCAGTCTCTTACCCTGCCACCTAGATTTGAGACTACTTATAGCTTGCTTCTACCCCTTGTTTCCCTGCAGGTACGTGTACAACCTGATCAAGCACGAGTTCAAACCAACTCTGTGTTGCTTTTAAGTATTCTCAAGAGCTGTCAGTCTCCTTTCCATCCCCGGCTTTCTCTGCTGCTGCATATACAACCCAATCAAGTACGAGTTAAACGGCATGCAATTTGACATCCCAGTCACCTACCCCACCACCGTGTTTTGAGACGTCCCATGCTCACGTTTACGCCTTGTTGTTGCCCTGCAGGTACGTGTACAACCTGATCAAGCATGAGTTGACCAAATCTGAGTCGCTTTTAAGAATTCTTAAAGGCTTTCAGTTTCCTTTCCATCCCCTTGTTGCCCTCCAGGTATGTGTACAACTTGATCAACTATAACCTCGACCTCTAGTTTTGCATCTATGACACCCCTTGTCCCAGTCTCGCCTGTCTGCGTGTGCATCCCTCCTTTTCGAGTGGTCCACTCCTTCTCCTCCGCTGCTCCCCACAATACATTCTCCCTCCCTATTAAATCATTCCTCCCCTTACCCCTCCCACCACGCCCATCCCATATCCCAGCCTCGCCTGCCTGCGTGTGCATCCCTCCTTCCGAGTCGTCCACTCCTCCGCGGCCCCCCACGTGCGCTTCACGTCCATCAAGGGTACCGAGGAGGTAGTTAAGCCATATGTGCAGGAGCTCTGGCTGAGGGGCGACGTCAGGCCCAACGGTGAGTGCCATGCCATGCTCTGGTGTGTGCTTCTTTAAAGCAGCGCTTCGTCTCCACCTTTCATTCCGAGGGATCGCGTGCCTTGCATTGGCTTGGCGTGTGCCGTTAGTTGTCCTTGCTTCGAAGTGTTCTTCACGTGGTCAACTCACAAGCCCTCCTTTCTGCCCAACCTTCATTTTGACAGGAGAATTGTCATTGTTGGATCCAGGCACAGGCGGCACCGTGGTCAACCGATTCAACCTCAGTCAACCGACTCAACCCAACCCACGAACTCTCTTTTTCAACCCTCCTTTGCACCTACAGGAGAATGGTCATTGGTGGATCCGGGCACAGGCCGCACTGTGGTCAACCGATTCAAACCGAGTCAAGTGCAGGCGTGCTTCATCTACTGGGGCAGCGGGTTCTGCAACCTGGAGCTGGTTTCTGAGGAGAGACCTGTCTCGGTTGAAACGCCCCTCAGGATCGACCACTCGTACAGCCGAGTGATGTGGTCAACAAAGTCAACCTGAGTCAAGTGCAGGCGTTGCTTCATCTACTGGGGCAGTGGGTTCTGCAACCTGGAGCTCGTGTTTCAGAAGAAAGGCCTTGCGGTTGAAATGCCACTCAGGATTGATCACGCATACATCATTGAGACAGTGGCCGGATTACCTGGTCAAGAAGTCAACCAGGTATACTTCATATACTGGGCCTGTGGGTTATGCCACCAGGGCATATGCTTATAGAGCATCCATACACCTCTGTTCCTTCAAAATTGGCAGTGGAGGCACCCTTTTCTTGTTAGCTCAGCATTGTTATATTAAGAATGGTAACAAACTACAAACTCCACAAGAATCATTACCGATTGCAGCCTTGATTTGTCAGCATTTGCTTCATAGCGAAGCGCCCCTCGCTTGCACGGCGGCCGTGCGAAATTATTGACTCAAATGTGTCAATAGGCTGCCACCACATCCATTCCATGCTGGCATGTTCAAGCTGGCGGATTCATAATTGGCGGAACGTTACTCGGCAGGACTTCGCCGCGCTGTGCTGGGTGACGCCAACAGCTGCGCGAACTCTGCGATCTACAACCGTTTTATCGCTGACGAATTCCATTGCTAGAAAATTTCTCGGCAGGATCTCGCTGAAGCTTTCATTTCACTCAGTGCTGGCGGTCGCGAACAGCTGCGGAACTTGTGGAGTCAGATTGACTGGGAAGGATGACTGGTAGCGAAATCTTGAAAGCGTTCGCGAAGGACCGCCAACGAGGAATGTTGGTTCTTTCATCTCCTTCCCCCAGAGTTGAGTCCAGATACTGGAGACCCTTCGTGGAGGTCTGCTTCCACTCTCCAGAATTTGTTCATATACCGCCATATCTGATAGCGCAACGACCATTTCCCGTAAGCTTCTACTTCATAAAGCTCATTTGTACATACATATCGTCTCGCGATTCTTACAGATAGACTATTCCGTCTGATATGTATATATAAAAAATCCCCCCTGGGTACTTCAGCTGTTTTATATCTTCGTAATAAACTCCACTTGAATACGAACGGAAGTAGTATTGTTTCACTTCTTGGCGACAGCACAAGCATGGCGCGTTCGCAGTTGAATCTGACCGCTATTGCGGGTATAATTCTCATCCTTCTCGTGTCTCTTAGCCCCGTCATCACCGCAAAAAGAACGCCGAAAGGCCTCCGTCCTTCGCGCCGTTTCTTGCGGGAGAGCCAGCCGCAACCTAGTAGTGGCGCGCGAACACCTGGTAACCGTCGCCAGATGCAAGAATCTTCGTATGATTTTGGTGATTGGTTCGGCGACAGTGGGGATTGGTCGAGCGACTGGTCAAGCGGCGACTGGTTCAGCGACGGTAGCGACTGGTCTGATTGGTCCGACGACTGGTCGAGCGATTGGGGTGACGACGTCTGGGACAGCGGCGACTTTGGTGGTTGGGACGACGGCGGCGGTTGGGACGACGGTAACTCTGACGACGGTTGGGACGACGGTAGCTCTGGCGGCGGCGGTTGGGACGACGGTAGCTCTGACGGCGGCGGTTGGGACGACGGTAACTCTGACGGCGGCGGTTGGGACGACGGTAACTCTGAAGGCGGCGGTTGGGACGACGGTAGCTCTGGTGACGGCGGCTGGGACGACGGTAGCTCTGGCGGCGGCGGTAGGGACGACGGTAACTCTGACGGAGGCGGTAGCTGGGACGACGGAGGAAACTCGGACGGGGGAAGCACTGGCGGAATCGGCGACAGCGGGGGGAACGGCGGAAGCGGCGACAGCGCGGGGAACGGCGGAAGCGGCGGAAGCGACGGGAGCAGCGGCGGAAACGGCGGAAGCAGCGGGGGCGGGGGCACGGTGGACGCTGGGGCGATGCTGGCGGAGCACAACGCCGCGCGCGCGGACCTGCGCCTCTCCGCGCTGGGCTGGGACGCGAATCTTGCGACCTCCGCGCAGGCATGGGCGGACAACCTAGCTTCGCGCGGATGCCCGCTAGAGCACGGGGGACACGACAACATGGGGCAGAACTTATACTGGAAGTCGCCTGCTGCTTTTAACGCGGATGAGGACCGTGGTGCGGTGAAAAGCTGGGTGGATGAGAAGCAGTACTGGACGTATAGCGCGATTCCGGGAGGGTGCGTGGAGGGACAGCAGTGCTTGCATTATACGCAGATTGTTTGGGAGGATACTAAGAATGTGGGGTGCGCTGCGGCTCAGTGCAGTGACGGGGCTGGGATGTGGGTGTGTCATTACTATCCGCAGGGGAACTGGCAGGGGGAGTACCCGTACACTACCTAACAGAACCCAAGTAAACAGCACTGGACCTGATTGGACCGCTTTGTTCCCTGCTGAAACCGTTCAGGAAGGCTTATGATCAGAAGGAAGTGCAGTGCACCCTTGGTGCACCAACACCTGCCCTTGCATGAATTCTGTACAGCTTTGCGTTGTTAGTGGTGGTGCCAGGGAATAAGGGTAGTTATGGGACGTCTCAAAGCTCTGAGGAGTTCTGTGCAGTTTTGCTTTGTTAGCAGTGTCTGGGAATAAGACTGACAGATAGGCGACTCAGATTGGTTGGTTCAGAAGGGAATGGGATGGGGAGAAGGGGAGGGGAGAAGGGACCGGAGTGGGGTGGTGCTGAATATACAGTAATGCCTTGATGTGGTCTGCATACCGCAGTTAGTGGTTTAGGGTAGGGCGACGATCCTGCTTGCTGGGCAAGGAGAGTGCATTTGTTCTGATTAGACAGCCGGAAGTGTACCGTATGTGTCTTTTCCCTCAACTGTTTTTGGAATAAACGTCCCAGGATTTCTGCTGCCGTCTCCTCCTGTACTGCTAACTCACAGTCTTGCTTTATCAATCTCCTCCATGCATATAGAAGCCACAGGGCGGATCAATAGTGCTCCTCAAGGCACAGGTAGAGGCAACAAACAAATGGTACTCATATCATGCCAATTCTCCAATGCGCGATGTGAGATACGTAAAGGCACTTAACATACTCTCTATACCGTACAATGAACCTCATACCGTGTTACGCACAGCACAGCACACCACTCCTACCAGATCCGCCTGGAGGTCTTCCAGTCTTCCATTTGGGCGAGCTCAGCGCTTCTCTTGCAAAGAGAGATCGGCTTAACCAGCCGGTCGAAATAACCAGCTGGCAGCCAGCCAGCCCCCGCCCGCCACATCGTAACATGTGTGTTACACAAGGCACCCACATGACATACGTCACTCCTTCTGGTTGCGCCTGGAGGTCTTTTGTTTGGATGAGCTCAGCTCAGCGACAACTGATATCCTATCTACTGCTGTTACCCCATGTATCGCGTACACAACGCACATGCATCAGTTTGAATCACTCCTTCTGGTTGCGCCTGGAAGACTTGCGCTTAGACGAGCTCAGCTCTTTCTTTCGAAGGCGAATGGCAGCAGGAGTCACCTCCACCAGCTCGCCCGTTTGCACATACCCCATGGCTTCTTCCAAACTCATCTGTGGTGAATAGAGGCGTACAGAGGGGTATGGAGGTATGTGCAGAAATGCATAGGGGTTGAATGGCAGCAGGAGTCACCTCCACAAGCTCGCCCGTTTGCACATACCCCATGGCCTCCTCAAGATTCATCTGTGGTGAATAAAGGGGTACAGAGGTGTACAGAGGGATACAGAGGTGTGTACATGAGTGCAAGGGTGAATGGCAGCAGGAGTCACCTCCACCACTTCACCCTTCTGCACATACTCCATGGCTTCTTCCAGACTCATCTGTGTTGTATAGAGGGGTACAGAGGGATACTTGGGTGTATAAAGAGGGACAGGAATTCACAGGGGTGAAAGGCAGCAGGAGTCACCTACATGGCATATTTGCAGACTCATCTGTGGCTTGCAGTGGGGTACAGCGGCGTGAAGAGGACTTTAGAGCGATACAGAGGGATAACTGATGTAACACTGGTACGAAATGAGAGTGCTGACCTGTCTTGGAGGTGTGAGGCGAATGTTCTCATCCTTAGAAGCCGCTCTTATGTTGGTGAGCTCCTTAGTGCGTACAGGGTTCACCTGGGAAAGAAGGAGAATCAGGAGCACAGAGATACCAGTGAGGAGGGCGGAAATGGGAGAAAAGGAATGTTCTCATTCTTGGACGCCGCTCTTATGTTGGTGAGCTCCTTAGTGCGTACAGGGTTCACCTGGGAAAGGAAGAACAAAGAGAAGGGATGGCAGCACAGAATATTTCAGCCCTCTTTAGTGCATGTCACAGGATGATACAGAATGTTGAGGTGCCTCACAGCCCTGAACCCCGTTCTTTAACACCCAACAGCATGTTGCTGAGGTTCCTCACAGAATGTTTTGCAGCACCTAACAAACAGAACATGTGAGCTGTCCCTTCTTGGTGCATGTCACAAGATGACATCGGATGTTGAGGTGCCTCGCAGCCCTGAACCCCGTTCTTCAACACCCAACAGCACTGACATGCGACCTCCCAATCACCTCCTCCGTAACGAGGTGACTACACAACAGCACTGACATGCGGCCTCCCAATCACCTCCTCCTTCCCCTCACCCGCTTCTCTTGAGACGTCTCAAAATCACCCAACAGCACTGACATCCCACCTCCCAATCACCTCCTCCTTCCCCTCGCCCGCTTCTCCCCTCACCCCTTTTTTCGCCTCAACCCCCCCTTCATCTTGTCAACCCCTCCTCTCCCTCTCACCTCCATGTCATCGTCCCTGGCGTTCTCTCCAATGATATGACCGTCGTATGTCTGAAGGGGAGGGGGGGTGGAAAGAGACACGAGGGGGAAAGATACAACGTTTGCCTCATCCTCACCCCTTCCCCTCTTCACCTCCATATCATGTTCCCTGGCGTTCTCTCCAATGATATGGCCATCATACGTCTGAAGTACAGGGCAGGGAGGGAGAAACGGAAGCTGAGAAGGGAAGAGAGGGGAAATGGGAAGGGAGGGAGAGGGGGGAAGACGAGGTTATGCCACAAAGCAATTACCTTTGGAAGGAGAGAAAGGAAAAGGGGGAGGAGAAGACGGCTGGAAGGGGAATGAGGAAGGTATGAGCCATTCCTCATCTGCTGGGAACACAGCTACTGAGAATGAAAGCCATTCATGCATAGGGCTTATGCCTCACTCCACCGAACTCTACCCCCCGCACCACGATATCCTAGACTCGACCAAAGAACGAGCACTTGACCACGAAACTGTACCGCACTGCATCGCACTGCACCCCACCGTACCTCGTCTCCGGGGCTGACAAAGAGCGTGCCCCGAGCTTCAAGAGAGGAAAGAGCGTGGGCTGTGATGGTACCTGCAGTTTGAGATTGGAAATATAATGATAAATACAACAAAAAAGGGGTTAAAAATAGGTGAATAGGAGAAAGAAAGATCATGTCGCAAAAGCAGCATCTTAATTGAAAGTGACAGTAACAACTGTGACAGTGATGGAAGCTGCTGTTGCTGTGAGTAATTATCTACCAGTAGTACCAGCTGTGACATTTTCTGCTTTCACCGTGTGACTGTACCTGTTGCCATCGACACAATCACACCCTTGCGCCCTCGCTCCAGCTGACCCCTCCAGGGCTCGTAGCCTGGCAGAGAGATCAGGAGAGGGGATGAGACGGGAGAAGGAAGGAAGGAAGGTGGGATGCAAGGTAACACTTGGATGTGCCTCATAGCACCTCGCTCCAGCTGACCCCTCCAGGGCTCGTAGCCTATGAAGGGAAGAAGAAGGAGATAAAGGTTTCAACTAAAAATCTTTCTTAGAAGGAAGGTGACCTGGGATGGTGGGTGTTACGATGGTTGAGGTGGTGACTGGGTGAGAGGTGAGAGGTGAGACGGTCAGAATGGAGCTGGCAAGGCAAGTGAGGAAATGTATTCAGGTGAGAGGTGCGAGGTGAGACACTGGCAAAACGCTCACGCAGGAAGGACCGGTGCAGCACGGCAGGGCCGTGGCTCTGGTGGCTGCGTTGAGGTGTGGTGAGGGGTGGAGAGGTGTGGTGAGGGGTGGTCGTGTTGGTATGGTAGTGGACTGTGGAACTCACACAGGAAAGATGGGTGCAGCACGTCCGTGCCTCTGGTGGTCGTACTGAGGCGTGATGGGCGGTGGGGAGGTGTGGTGAGTGGTGGGAGTTGCAGTGGTCCCTTCTTCTACCCCTGGCAAAGCACTCACGCAGGAAGGACCGGTGCAGCACGGCCGTCCCTCGAGTGGCCGTGTTGAGCACTCCTCTCACTCCCAGAAGGCCCCTGCACAGATGCACATAGGGATGGACGGAGTGAGGGTTTAAGGCTACGATTTGGGGTGATTATGCCCCTGGTGGCTGTGTTAAGCACTCTCTCACGCACTCCCAGAAGGCCCCTGCATACATGCATGCATGGGTGAAGGGAGTTCTTTTGAGACGTCTCAAGAGAGTTCGCAACAAGGAATAAGGGTTGAAGGGTTTTAGGGTGGAAATGTATTTTAGTTGAAGGCAAATTTCGTCTCAGCAAGGACCAATAATGTTTAGGACTCTCAAACGAGATCCCAAACTAGTTGAGACTTCTCAAAAGGATTCAGGGTTGAAGGGTTCAGGGTTGAAGGGTTCAGGGTGAAGAGTTTATGGTTGAAGGCTAATTTCGTATTCATGACAAGAGCAAGAGCAATCACTGACAAGTAAACCGGATCAGAGGGGAAATTATTTGTCTCACCTGGAAGGGCAGGTGAAGAGAAGGCGAGTACGTGAGAGAGACGAGGATGCTGAGCTGGCGGAGGAGGGCGATGACGTGGATGGTGAGGGTGATGACGTGGCAGATGTTGCTGAGTCAGCAACAGATGAGCTGGAATCTGAGGAGGCGGCGGAGGATTCTGTGATCATGTCCAGGAGCTCTCCTTTTCTGAGAGAGATGGCGTCGATGACTGCCCCTGCAAACTCCTCATCCACCTGTATGGGGGGCAAAGACAGATACACAGCCGGTCACAGAAAGAGAGAACGAGCACAGGTGAACACAGGCAGGCACAGAGGCACACAGACAGACAAATAGAGAGAGATGGTGTCGATGACTGTCCCTGCATACTCCTCGTCCACCTGCGCGGGGGCACGCACCCCTCATCACCCATCATCACCACTCATCTCCACCATGAGCTGTTCAATCAGCTCCACATCTCACCGCACCACACCTCCTCATCACCACCACACCATTACCCCATCATCACCCCTCATCACCCATCATAACCACCCACCTCCACCATGAGCTCTTCAATCGGCTCCAACTTCTTCCCCTTCTCCTCCCGGTACCTGCAAAGAAAAGGGTTGTTTGGGACGGTGGGGTTGGAGAGGGAGGGCGGGAAGGGAGATGGGAGGGACTGGGCAGTGAGCCAGAGGGGAAGGGGGGGGAAGAAGGAAGGCGACATCATAGCTGTTTGCAGTGTACGAGTGACATCTCCACTTCAGCTACTCACAGCAAACCCCTCTTTTGCACGACATCATAGCCCACTCACAGCAGAGCTTTGAGACGCCTCAAAACTAAACTCGTCTCACTACTCACAACGAATTCCCTCTTTCGCACGACAGCGCAGCCCACTCACAGCACGGATGGTGGCGATATGGAGAGCTCAAACCCCTCCCTGCGCATACTCTCTATAAGCACACCTGATTTCGTGTACAAGAAAGAGACGTGCAGAGCGCAGTGGGGAAAGAGCAAGGGCGGGGAGAGGGGGTTAACAAATGCGGGTGCGGGGAGAGGGGGTTAACAAATGCGGGTGCGGGGAGAGGGGGTTAACAAATGCGGGTGCGGGGAGAGGGGGTTAACAAATGCGGGTGCGGGGAGAGGGGGTTAACAAATGCGGGTGCGGGGAGAGGGGGTTAACAAATGCGGGTGCGGGGAGAGGGGGTTAACAAATGCGGGTGCGGGGAGAGGGGGTTAACAAATGCGGGTGCGGGGAGAGGGGGTTAACAAATGCGGGTGCGGGGAGAGGGGGTTAACAAATGCGGGTGCGGGGAGAGGGGGTTAACAAATGCGGGTGCGGGGAGAGGGGTTTAACAAATGCGGGTGCGGGGAGAGGGGGTTAACAAATGCGGGTGCGGGGAGAGGGGGTTAACAAATGCGGGTGCGGGGAGAGGGGGTTAACAAATGCGGGTGCGGGGAGAGGGGGTTAACAAATGCGGGTGCGGGGAGAGGGGGTTAACAAATGCGGGTGCGGGGAGAGGGGTTTAACAAATGCGGGTGCGGGGAGAGGGGGTTAACAAATGCGGGTGCGGGGAGAGGGGGTTAACAAATGCGGGTGCGGGGAGAGGGGGTTAACAAATGCGGGTGCGGGGAGAGGGGGTTAACAAATGCGGGTGCGGGGAGAGGGGGTTAACAAATGCGGGTGCGGGGAGAGGGGGTTAACAAATGCGGGTGCGGGGAGAGGGGTTTAACAAATGCGGGTGCGGGGAGAGGGGGTTAACAAATGCGGGTGCGGGGAGAGGGGGTTAACAAATGCGGGTGCGGGGAGAGGGGGTTAACAAATGCGGGTGCGGGGAGAGGGGGTTAACAAATGCGGGTGCGGGGAGAGGGGGTTAACAAATGCGGGTGCGGGGAGAGGGGGTTCACAAATGCGGGTGCGGGGAGAGGGGGTTAACAAATGCGGGTGCGGGGAGAGGGGGTTAACAAATGCGGGTGCGGGGAGAGGGGGTTAACAAATGCGGGTGCGGGGAGAGGGGGTTAACAAATGCGGGTGCGGGGAGAGGGGTGCGGGGAGAGGGGTTTAACAAATGCGGGTGCGGGGAGAGGGGGTTAACAAATGCGGGTGCGGGGAGAGGGGAGAGCAGAGGCCTGCCAACGGGCGGGGAAGAGCAGTTGTGGGAGAAGTGAGCAGCTGCCTTTTAGAGTAAATATCCTCCATGATAAATAAAAGTTGACGTTCCAAAAACCAGCTTTTGATCACGAGTCTCCTCAGGTGTAAATATCCATGCCAGGTAAGTAAACTGGTCCCAACCGCCACTTACCCAGCTGCATCTCACCCCATACCAGCACTTTCAAAGGCGTCTGCAGTGGGACTCGCTTCCAGAACCAGACGCAAGTAGAGCCCTAGGCACTAACCCATGTCAACCCAACCCAACCCAACCCAACCCAACCCAACCCAGTTCTCTTAATACTGAACCCAATCCCTAGAACCCCCCACCACTCACCCAGCTGCATCTCGCCCCTGGCCAGCACCTTGAAAGCATCCGCGGAAGGTCCCGCCTCCAGCCCCAAGGATACATTCGTCGCCACCTCTGCCTTGAGCCGCGCGCCGATCTTTGGGCCGGTCATCTGATGCATGCAAGAGCAGAGCAAGGGACCAGGGAGAGGGAGGGTGAGGGAACGTAGAATCAGCACCAAGGAGTCCGCAGAGGGACCCACCTCCAGGCCCAAGGACACGTTTGTTGCCACCTCTGCCTTGAGCCGTGCGCCGATCTTTGGGCTGGTCATCTGGTGATTGTGAGAGTAGAAACGTCAGGGGACGGAGGGGCGTGAGTGGGGGAGACGGAGACTGGGGCACGTGGCAGCACTTAGGCGTGTGCACAGACGGACCCGACTGCAGCCCCAGAGACACGTTCGACTTTTGAGACGTCTATCCCAGGCGATGTTTTGTCTTACCAATTGACTTACTAAGTCTTTCTTCTACTCGCCTTTTTTCTCTCCTAATTGAATCTGGTTAGATCCATTTGGATCTAGACACAGAGCGACCTCAGTTGGCTTGCTGCGATCGAATCCGCCTTTAAACAACATCTCTAAAGTCGGACCCAACTGCAGCCCCAGAGACACGTTCATTGCCACCTCTGCTGCCAAAAGCCGCGTTCCGATCTTTGGCCGGGTATCTGGTGTGTGGGCAGGGGAGTCAGTAGGTGGTGGGGATGGTTGGGTGCTCAGGTCAGACCTCACCTGAGACTTCACCTGAGACCTCACCTGAGACTTCACCTGAGACCTCACCTGAGACTTCACCTGAGACCTCACCTGAGACTTCACATGAGACCTCACCTGAGACATCACCTAGGCTTACCTGGGCTCACCTGGGCTCACCTGGGCTCACCTGGGCTCACCTGGGCTCACCTGGGCTCACCTGGGCTCACCTGGGTGCCATGTCTCCCTGCTAGAGGCAAGCAGTTGTTGACACTGAAGGTCATGGAGATGGTGGGAGAGGACTCACCTGAGAATGCACGTGGGAGTCCACCTGAGCTGAGATTCCACCTGAGAGCTCACCTGGGTGCCGTGTCTCCCTGCTAGAGGCGAGTCGTTCACACTGAAGGTCATGGCGATGGTGGGAGGGTCGATGGCTGCCACTGGGAGGGGTTTGGAGACCTGGAGGGGTGGAGAGGAGTTGATAGGCGTGGCAAGGAGGAGGGTTGAGTGGAAGGGAAGGCCTGTACGAAGGTTTTGAGACGTCTCAAAACACTATTTATATCATGTGGCACGGAGGAGGGGAAGGCCTGTACGACGTTGTTGACAACGAAGGTTGTGGCGATGAAAATTGTGGCGATGAAGGTTTAGAGAGACGAAGGCTTGAGAAACGGACGAAGGGAAGAGGCATGCCGAAGCTAAAACCAGCGAGAGGAGCAAGGGAATGGAAGGCGTGCCGTGAGATTTGCGAGAGAGAGTGTGAGATGTGTATGTTTATGTGCGTGCATCATCCCTGGAAACAACTATAACTATCACCGATAAAGACTAAATCTGGCACCTCAGAACAGACTCAGCGATTAAGTGGCAGGGCGCATTCAGGAGGAAGTCTGCAAGAGTGTGTGAGACGTGGGCGTGGTGGGTCATCCCTGCCACCACCACTGTCACCCATGCACACCTTATTTTTTAGTAGGAGGCCATACCGAGAGGTCTGCGAGAGTGTGTGAGACGTGGGCGTGGTGGGTCATCCCTGCCACCACCACTGTCACCCATGCACACCTTATTTTTTAGTAGGAGGCCATACCGAGAGGTCTGCGAGAGTGTGTGAGACGTGGGCGTGGGTCATCCCCGCCACTGCCACTATGTCTCCTGCTGCCGCCTCACCCATATCCTCCGACTTCACTCCCCTCCGCTTCACCAGCTTCACCACCTGTTATTGAGGGCCGCAGCAGCAGCATGAGAGGGAGGGGGAAATGGGCAAGAGCATGGGAGAAAGGTCTCCTGCTGCCGCCTCACTCATATCCTCTGACTTCACTCCCCTCCGCTTCACCAGCTTCACCACCTGTTATTGAGGGCCGCAGCAGCAGCATGAGAGGGAGGGGGAAATGGGCAAGAGCATGGGAGAAAGGTCTCCTGCTGCCGCCTCACTCATATCCTCCGACTTCACTCCCCTCCGCTTCACCAGCTTCACCACCTGATGATGGCATAACAGGGTTGAGGAAAACAAAATAGGAAGATGTGATTCCATACATTGGGAAATTTTGAGAATTCTCAAGAGAGATGTGATTCCCTACACGGGGACCGGACCAGCATGGAGCGGTTGGCACTTCTCCCTCAAACTATTACGCCCATCACTCACGCCTATCTCTCTCAAGACTCAACCCACCTTGCTCTCTTCCAACGAAACAGCCTCCCCTTGGCTGTCCCGCATCAGCGCCCACACCCTGTCGCCCACGCGCACGGAACCCGTCACGTGTACCTGCCTGCCTCCTTCCACTCAGTGCTTTGGTGTGCAACAACTAACCTTGCTTTCCTCCAACGAAACCGCCTCCCCTTCGCTGTCCCGCATCATGGCCCGCACCCTGTCGCCCACGCGCACCGAACCCGACGTTATCCGACCAATCAGCAGGCGGCCTAGAAACGGGTCCCTGTCGATCAGTGACACCTGGCAACCACAATCTCACAGGCAGGGCACGAGGGCGCAAGAAGATGAAGCAGGGGTGAGAAGGTGTGTGTGTGTAACGTAGAAACGGGTCCCAGTCGATCGATCAATGACCTGACGCCTCGCACATGCGCATGGAAGGGACAGGAGTACACAACAATACAAGAAGATGAAAGGAAAATTCGAGCAGGCCTTTGAATCGACTCACAAGTCACCAAGGGCCTTTGGCGCGGCTTACAAGCCAAGCAGTGCCACAGTGCCACGCCACGGGTCAGAAGAGCCTGCCTTGCCTACCAGCATGGAGATTATGAGAATTCTCAAAAACACAGTGCCACGCCACGGGTCAGAAGAGCCTGCCTTGCCTACCAGCATTTGGAAGGGCGCTGTTGGATCCACCACAGGAGGCGGCACACGGTCCAGAATGGCCTCGAGAATCGGCACCACGCCACTCTCTCCCTTCGCCGCTGCTGCTTCTGATGACGCTGCAGCCCCTGCTGCCGTGAGCTGGGGAGGGGGCCACGAGGAGCTGGCCCAGCCGTGCCTGGCCGACGCGTAGAGCACCGGGAAGTCCAGCTGCTCCTCTGAAGGGCAATAGGGATGGGCAGGGAGAGAGTAGGAAAAACATGAGCTCGCCTGGCTGTGGCAGCTGGCACAAAGCAGCGGCAGCCAGGAGGAGCTGGCCCAGGCATGCCTGGCCGAGGCGTAGAGCACCGGGAAGTCCAGCTGCTCCTCTGAAGAGTTATAATGGTGGGGGGGGATTGGGAGGAATCATTTGTTAGGTGGGAGGGCGGGAGCATGGAGAACAGGGGGGCGGGGGGCATGAAGAGCTGGCCCAGCCGTGCCTGGCGGCGGATGCGTAGAGCACCGGGAAGTCCAGCTGCTCCTCTGAAGGGATATGTATGGGGTATGGGATGCGAATATAAAATGGTGTGTGGGAGGGAGGGAGCACGGAGTAAACCACAGGAGGGCGAGCGGAGCGGACCAGAGGAGCTGGCCCAGCCATGTCTTGCGGACGTGTAGGGCAGGGGGGAGTCCAGCTGCTCCTCTGACATGAAGTAACTTCTGAGTCGACTCGAAAGCCATGTGTTGCGGACGTGTAGGGCACAGGGAAGTCCAGCTGCTCGTCTGACATGGTATGTATGGGGTTTGGGAGATGGAATGCGAAAGCATGACATGGTAGATGGGAGGGAGGGAACAGGGACTACACCAGGGGGGCTCGTCCGAGCGAGCAGCCGAGAGGAGCGGGCCCAGCCCAGCCCAGCCATGTCTGGATGAGAAGTGGCAGACCGAACGCATAGGGTTCATGGAGGAGGGAGGGAACCCACAGGGCAGGGAGGGAGATAGAAGCCCACACGCGTGTGGCAGAGGCGCAGAGCAGAGCGCAGAGGGGGGACTCGGGGAAAGGGGGGGTGCGTGTGGGTGTCTCTGACCACCTGAGACATAGTGCTGGTAACCACCTGACACGTGGTGGTAACCATGTGATGCGTAACGTCGCGGTAATAATCACATGACGAGTTGTGCTGACCACCCCTGACGAGTGGTACTAGTGGTAACCACCTGACACATCGTGAACTGGTAACCACTTGACAAGGGAGGGGTAAGCACCTGTGGCATCAAAGGAAGCGAAGAGGTCGAAGATGGCTGATTCCACTTGATGCACCATCTGCGTGGTCACTGCAGAGTGGTGGGGTGGGGTGTGATGCGGCGGGGTGAGGTGCGGTGGGGTGTGGTGTGGTGCGGTGGGGTGTGGTGTGGTGTGGTGGGGTGCGGTGGGGTGTGGAGACAGAGGGATATGGAGTGACAAAACAGGGTTTTGTCACGTGACATGGGATGGCATGGCATGGCATAGTATGTTGTGGCATAGCATGGCATGGCATGGCAAGGCACCACATGGTATGGCGTGGTATGGCAACAAACGGAATCGCATGGTATGGCATGGCAATTAGAGAATGCTGCATCAGCATGAAAAAAACTACCAATAAGTTGGAATTACCAGAATGGCAATCTATATTGACTCTGATCTAGAACAATCTTCACTACACCCCACAAGCATAGATCTGTTCTAATCACCTGAGGCTCAGTTGGGATCACCTGAGGGTCGGTCACACTTGTTGAGCACGACGATGGGCTTTAAGCCCCTCTGCAGAGCCTTCCCCAACACAAACTTGGTCTGAGCCAAAGGCCCCTCCGCCACATCGACCAATAGCAGCGCCCCATCCACCATACCCATCACTCTCTCCACCTGAGGGGAAGGGGTAGGTTGGGGGGAGTGGGGGGGAGGGAGAGGGGTTGGGGCAGCGAGAGAGGTGTGGATCCAAGAGGGTCTGAGCCAAGGGCCCCTCTGCCACGTCCACCAATAGCAGCGCCCCATCCACCATGCCCACCCGCTCCACCTGTAGCGGGCAGCGGGAGATGAAGGGGGTGGTGGTGGTGGTGGTGGTGGTGGCGGCGGCGGCGGCGGCGGTGGTGGTGGTGGTGGTGGTGGTGGCGGTGGTGGTGGTGGTGGTGGTGCGTGGGGTAAGGCGGAATGATGATTTTATCGACTGAAAATCACGTGTGCGGGGGGGAAGAGGGTGTCACGCAACAGGGTGGTGTGGTGTGGTGCCCCCACGACTCGATAGACCGAGGGCAGACCTGACCTCCGACTCACCTCTCCCCACCAAATCGCATGCCCTGGATTCTACCTGACCAAAGTGTCACCTTTCTCACAATTTCACCCACAGAAGATGTCACCTCCATTCGGATTTCACAAACCCCCCCCCCTCCCCCCCCCCCATATCTCACCTTCCTTGAATCTTAACTCCCTCGGATCTCACCTCCCTCGGATCTCACCTCCCTCAGATCTCACCTCCCTCAGATCTCACCTCCCTCAGATCTCACCTCCCTCGGATCTCACCTCCCCTCCAAAGTCGGCGTGGCCAGGCGTGTCCACGAGGTTGAGCGTGGTGGCTCTGAACGTGACAGATGTGTACTGTCACAATCGCACAAAGTCACAATCATAGACGAGAAATAATAGAGAAGGAGGAGAGAGAGTTGAAAGTGCTTAAAGTTGCAGGTGTCAAGGTTTGGGTTCGGGTTCAGGGTTTTGGATTCAGGTTTCAAGGTTTGGGTTCAGGCTTCATTTTTCCATTGAAGAATAACCAGGAAAGTTGAGTGCAAGTGGGACGTGTGAAAACCTGGAAGTGACAAACATGGCTTGCCAACCGCTACCTTGCTTGCCCAGTCTTGAGGTAATGTTGCCTCCCGGTGCTCTCGCCTGCTGTCTCTTGCCGTCTCGTGCCGTCTCGTACTGTGCTGTCTGGATTACATCTCAAAGCAACAAGTGATTGGAACGCGCACCTTAGACGCGATCGTGATTCCTCGTTCTCTCTCCAGAGCGATCGAGTCCATCACTCGATCGCACGGCAACTCCGACGATCCCGACCCGCCTCCGCCGCCGCCGCCGCCGCCGCCGCTGGCGGAGGTAGTGGGGGCAGCAGCAGAGCTCGAGGCGCGGATGAGGCGATCCATGAGCGTCGTCTTGCCGTGATCGACGTGCGCGATAATCGCTACATTGCGAATCGCGTCGTTACGAAACGCCTCGTGCGATTCGGCGACCGGAGTCGCTGAGGAATCATCTAGGCCAATCGCGTCAGCTGCAGCGCCAGCGGCGCTGGTGCTGCTGAATCTGTAGCTCCTAGACGGACTAGCGTCTTGGCAGCCGCCATAGTGCGGCACGTAGGATACTATTGAACTGGCGGACGCATTCCGAATCAGCGAACGGTTCAGATTATTCGGCCCAAGCTCTAGACGACCTGGATCCTGTTCAGCGGATCGGATCCATGAGCAGGAGCTTAAAGCCCTGCTGACGTGACACAGGAAGGAGTCGGCGCCACCGGCAGCAGAGGAGCTGCTGGCCGCTTGATTTCCGCGCCTCGCGAGAAATCCGCGAGCCGCGGAAACAAAGAGCCGAGCGCCAGTCATTCTGGCCTCCAGGAGCTACTCAGGCCGAATGGAAAGTACTCCTAGCCCAGTCTGGTTTCTGTAGGGCAAGCATCCAGATCGCGTCGCAGGAGGGTAATTCGAGTGCCTGCCCTGATGTTGTCGCGAAAGTGTGTAGATGTCTACAGAAAAGTTTTATGAGTTTCGTTTTATGTTATGATTCAAGGTCATGTTTCTGTGGGATAGATTTCATTTCAGACATCTACAGCTAGGCCGTGTTATGGTTTCTTTCCAACAAAATTCTTTCCTGCCAGAGAGATAATTCGAGAGTAGTTGCATAAACTCCATATAGTGAAGGGTACTGTGGAGATTTTGTGTATGAAGATAACTATAAATTGGACCGTTGAACAGCAAGCGCGTTTGACTCTATAAGCTAAGCACCCTCTTGAACGTCGAGTCTTGGATTGTGCTGACGTCGACTCACCTGCTTCTGACACGGCAGCGGCTTGGCGCAATGTTTCTAGGGCAGCACCTCTCTTGACACCGTCAGCTTGGATTTCCCGCTTCGTGACGCCACCAGGCGACGTGCGCATTCTCAAGTTTGGTAATCTGCGCTGCTGTCATCCTGAGCCGAAGAAGCTTGGCTTGCGGACGGCGTGCACTGCTGCATGCCCACAGAACGACAGGTCAGGACCCGGTAAAAGTGCTCGTTTCGGGGGGAGATCGATCCTGTCACCGCACTGAAACCTTGCGTTTTGCATACAGAAAAGTACACAACCGTTTACAACCGCGCAAAAAATGATCCTGAGGCGATCGATTCTCTACTTTTACCGCATCCTCACGTTATCTTTCCACTTGGTCGAGATGAGGCAGACACTCGGCGAACTACGTTAGCGCTTATCTCTTTTACCCTGCGATCCGTCATTGTACTATCTATCGGCAGTGATAAAACCAGATTTCTGTTTTTATCGTCATTATAATATAAATACATAGCTTCTGAAGTACACCGCACGTGTAGCGCGCAGCTATAGTTGGGGAGCTTGGGCTCACAAGTCGAGATAATGGCGGCCGCAACTATCCGCACTCCCGGCCTCAACTACAGGCCGCGGAACTCTACATTAGTACGCTATTTCTCAAGCGCCGGTTCCTCTTCGCAGACTTCCTTCCTGCGAACTTTTTTTCCCGGTAACCACCGCTTTGAACGTCACCGCCAGTTCGACTTACCTCGCGAGAAAAGACGGCTGGTGGTCGTTGAAGCGAAGATTTCGAAAGCCGACGACGCGGCTCGCGACAGGCAGAACCTGCAGAGACGACACGATGGCTGGCGGGGGGAAAGCGCGAAAAAGAAATCAACGGCTAACACTAGCTCATCTGCCAATAGCCCTCCCACCGAGGTCCCTGCTAATTCTTCTCCTCCTACTGCTGATTCCCCTCCCGTTGATTCTAGTACCTCCGTGCCTGCTACTACTGGTTCGGTAACAGCTGCTGCCCCCGAACCTGCTGATACCTCCGTTCCTGATGCCGTACCTGCGGATGCTTCTGCTTCGGAAACGGCTGTCGCAGCGGAATCAGATGCATCAGCAGCCGCAGCCGCAGCCGCAGACACAGCCACAGCAGCAGAATCAGTACAAGTTGCGTCTCCTCAAGACGTGCCACCAAGCGAAGCACCATCAGCAACAAATGCAACGGAGACTCCTTCTCCCGCAATTTCTGCGGTAGCGCAAGAGGCTTTAAGTCGCGCTCAACGTGCGTCCAGCAGCGCATGGCAGAGCCTAGCGACGGCTGCTGCCGAGCCTGTCGCCCTGCCGAACCAGCTGCAGGAAAGCGTGCAAGCCCTGCCTCTCCCGCCGAACCTGAAAGGGAGGCTCGGGATCGCGGATGGCTCGGCCGTGCTACTAACGAGGGGTCACCTGGCAGCGGCAGTGCTCGCTGGTGGCCTGCTGGTCAAAGGAATTCAGTCATGGGTGAAAGCTAGGTGAGTTTCGGTTTTTTTTTTCTTTGTATGGGAGTTTTTCTCAGTTGACAACAAAAAAAAATGCCTTATCGCTGTTGGCATGCTGGTCAAAGATATTCAGTCATGGATGAAAGCCGGGTGAGTTTCGGTTATTGTTTCTTTAAATAGGAGGTTTTCTAAATTGACATAAAAGTCTCTCATCACTGTTTGCCTGCTTTGTCAAAGGGTGTAGGTCATGGGTGGCTGTGTGCGTGTTGATCTCTAGTTTGTTTCACTTCGTGGTCAAAGGGCTTCGGTCATGGATGAAAGACAGCTGAGCCGTGGTTAGTTCTCTACTACATGCATTGGAATTTTTAACAGCTTCAGTTCAGTTGTGGCGAACGTTCAGGTGAGCCTTGGTTACTAGCCTTTGAGGCGCCTCAAAAGTCATGGGCGAAGGGCAGGTGAGCCTTGGTTCTGATTCTTTGATCATCAGAGCGGAGCGGTCTCATCCCTCCTTGAAGCCCACGTGAGGTACCTGTACGGTGAGGTGAGTCGACTCCTTGTGCGCACGGGGAAGGAGAGAGGGGGGAGGGGGAGGGGAAGAAAGGGGAAATGGGAAATGGAGGTCAGCTGGCAACGACATTGCCTGTTATTTGGCTGCTGCTGAAAGGTCTAGCTGAGTCATGGGTGAGCTAACTGAATGCGTACGAGAATACGCTTTCTTTTTATTGATTTCAACCGTGACCAACATCTCTCCACACACCTCGGATCCCCCCCTCCCTCCCCCCCCCTCCCCCAACCTTATCCATCCGTCCCCACCCACGACTGTTGCCGTTTCTTCTCTCAAATCCGCCTGTCGTGACAGTGAGTCCACCCACTGTATGCTAGATTAACATGAATATTTTTAAATTCACAGCAGTGAGAATCCATTTGAAAATATTCCCACGTCTGCCCTCTCTTCTCTTTCAGAGCCACTGCTCTCAACAGTGAGTCCACCGTTCCTGCGCCTCTCCTCCCTGCTTCTCCGAACCTGCCTACTATACCGGACCTCCCTCCCATCGTACCTACAAAAATCACAGCAAAGGATGTCCCCAATCTCCCTGTTTCTTCACCTCCAAGTCAACTTCCTGAAAAAGCTATAGCTCCAGTGCCTGTGCCAGTCATGGCTTCTGCATATGTAGCAACTGCATCCGCTTCATCTTCATCATCAGCAGCAGCAGCAGCAGCAAAATCGTCAGCAGCAGTAGCAGCAGAATCATTGCCATCAGCCGCAGTTGCACCCTCGTCAGCCGCAGCAGCTGCTGCAGCAAAGGAGGCAAGTACACCACTACCAGCGACACTGATCGAATCAGAACCACCCTTTGAGATATTCACTAATCCTGACGACACCGGAAGCAGGGCAGAAAGCAGGGAGGAGGGAAAGACTTTGCTCCCCCCTGCATTCTTCAAATTCACTGACTCCCTCCCTCCGTTACCTTTCCCCTTCAAAAATTGGAGCCCTTTTGGAAAGGCTCCTGGTGTGAGTCCAATTGATATGGACGAAATAGACCGGTTGGCAGCAGCTGCAGCATCTAAGGGTGACGTGTCAGATTCGGAGATCGACGACCGTCCAAGGCTGATAAAACTGCAGCAAGGTAGGCGTTTGAATGCACTCATCATTTTAAATATTTTGTTTTGTTTTTTTCTCTAGTTGTTGATGTTGTTTTGTTGTGTGATGCAGACAACGCAATGGCGTGGTTCGCGTTGATCACGGGCTTTCTCGTGCTCGTCGCGTTCTCGTGGAACCCTGCCAATCCGTTGAATCCTTGAACAAGAGTGTCCCGTTTTAACATAATCACATGAAAGCTATCAGCTATCGCTACAATTATAGTACTTATATCCCGTTTAGTACAGAAAAATAGTTGCCTGTGTCACTGTAAGGGGTGATTTGAGATTGTTGAAGGCGCAGGAGTTGATTGACTGGGATTGACGCTTGAAATTTGTGTCGTGCCTGCCACGCTTAGACATTACCTTCTCCACCTGGGAGTAATTAGGAGGAAGACCAAAATAAGCTAAAACCGTTTTATCTCCTGACAGCCTGGCCGCTGACTGGACATCAAGAGAAGCGGTTTCAGGCTGACCGTGTTTCGCATCGCACTCTTCCCCCACAAACTGCTCAAGCGTAAATGCAAATCACACCGCACCGCCCAACCCAACCTCCAAATTGCCCAGCAAGAAAATTTGCGTTGTCTCGATCACCGTTCTGCATCAGACTGTAGCGGTTATGGACGGTATTTGAACTATCGATAATTCATCAATGTAGTCTCCTTCAATAACTGCTGCATTCGACAGTTGTTAGCACCAATTCCTAGTTGCCTCGCCCATAGTGCGTGCGAAGTTGCCTCCTCTCTCCAACCTCCTTCCTCATGGTTGCCTCGTCTCTCACCTCAGTCAACCCAACCCAAACCACCCTAAACCATAGCAAACCTGTCGCGTCTGTTTCACTCGTCCGTACTGCTGTAACAGCAGGCATTTGCCTTATCGCGGTCGCAGCACTTACATTCAGCGCATACGTTGCTTGCGCTTATTTACGGATAGGCAAAGGTTCAGCACGAGAGATATAGGAAGGTCAAACTCCATGATTTATTCCATCTCTATACGTTCCCTTTCATCT